CTGGTCGTACAATATACTTTCTGGTCGTACAATATACTTTTCTGGTCTCTCAAAGTGATCTCCACGACGACATCCTAAAGTACAAAAAAAAAATGTGAAGATAAGATGAATAAAATATAAATTGTTCACATGTGGAAGAAAACAAAAACGGAGGAAAACAAGCTATAAACAAAAACAAAACACATTTCAAAAAGTAAGTTAAAGTTGTACGAATAAAAATGCATGGTGCTATATGTTGCGCGAAGTACAACAGTCAATAGATGTTTCAAAATATGTCAAGCCTTTGAATATAACAACAAATCTACAGATTGAGAGAAATTTTGAAAATGCACATAAAATATTTGTGAAAAAAGAAAAAAAAAGATCTATTTATAGAAAAGAAAAAAAAATTTCTGCAAAATTTCTCAATTCACATTTTAATTACTCTAGAATGCTTCCATCACAAACACATGTATACATTTACAAATATGTACGTTTATATAGGTACAATACATATAAAGCCGTCTTTGCATTTGTATATATGTAGCTTATAAATTTGTGTAAATGTTAAATCCGTTAAAAAAATTCTAAAAACGGTTCCCATTTTTCATTCTTACTTTTGTACGTGTCATTACTATTGTGTGGCGTTATTACAAAAACGATTGTTTACGGTTGCATACATTTCAGGTTTATAGTTAATATTGAAATAAATATGTGAGTAACATTGTATATGAATTGAGTTAAAAATAATTCGTATTCACACAATATTATTTAACAGTATCTAAGCATATTTTAACAGAATCTATTCAGCTTTTAACAGAATCTATGCTCGTTTTAACAGAAACTATGAGCACATGAATAATTTTGTTCTTCTTCTCCTTCATATGATTACAAAGGTTTGATGCGTTAACGGCATCCTTATTCTCAACATGCGGTATATTCTCGAGCAATTCATTGAAAACAACCAGAAATTTGCAGGCAATTATTACATAAACGTTTGTATATTTCGTGTACTGAAATCATAAGCGTCATTAAAAAAATAATACAAAGGGAGAACCATGTCAGATTCGTGTAGATTGCCTAGAAATTACCTGATTATTTGTGAAATATTGAGAGAGTGGAGGAGTTTTTTTAAGGAATTTAACAATATAGCAATCTGTCATTTTATTTTAAATTAAACAAAAAGGTTGCGTAGCGACATCTAAATAGTATTAGTGAAACTATGTAAAGATAATTTACAACTAAAATTCTAAAGTTGCCTAAAGTCGCCTATGGGGAAATTTAAGCGAATCCGTCGACTAATTTGGCGCTAAAACGACAAAAAATTCAATTAGATATTCGATCTCGATCACAGCAAGGAGGTATGCTTCGTTAGCAATACCCCGAAATGCACAAGAGCTGCTTTATTTGGAAAGTATGTCTAAATATAAAGCACGAACGTAGCTTTATAAGTAAAAATCTGTTAAATGCAGCTTTATAAGTGAAAAAATCTGTTTTAAACATATTCATTGCCGTCGGCATTTCATTGCAAAATGAGAAATGAAAATTGCCGTCGGCATTTATAATAAATCAAATCAAATGAGCCCATAATTGGCCACTTTATGACTCCATTCGGGCACCACCAAGAGTTAGGCAATGTAAATTATTGCATAATTGTTTTATATATTGTGAGTGCAACCATAAATAACAAATAAAAAAAGCTCTTGAATTCACATTTTTAATTTTATGTCTGTTTCAATTATAATTCAATTTATACTTCATTTAACTGTCTCTGTCGAATGAAGGTTTTTTGGTGTAAGTACGTTTTTTAGCGTTAGTTTTTTGGTGTTAGCTTTGGGCGAAACATTCAGAAGAAAAAAACCTGCACCAAAAAGGAAGAAGAACAAGCAACCTGCACAAAAAAGAAAGAAGAACAAGAAACCTGCTCCAAAAAGGAACAAGAACCACGTGCTCATGCTATAGAATGTGCGCTTAATGATGGAGATAAGGGTTCAATCGGTATTTCGGAGATTTAATTAAACTGTGAATTTTCGGCTCGTATGTTTAAGGGGGATTTAAAATTCGAAGGAAGTTCTCTGTTAGTGGTACTGGCATCCACTGGATAATCAGAATCCCGAGTATATCCTCGACGAGCAAAGCACGACCCTAGCTTGTCGGTTCCTTATGCTTCCCGGTCATCGAGAAAAGAGAAATTTGCTTGCAAAGATGTTAGTCTAGGCTCCGAAATGTGTATTGTCGTACAAAAGACCTATGTGATCATTATAACAAAATGTCATACAATTCATGCACGCATATTTATATCAGATACGCTCTCTTTTTCAGTGGAATATATCATGTAAATGAATTTTCTTCATTACGATTTAAGGTGATATCCGTTTTGGCCACAGAATTATTTATTTATCATATATTATACATTAAAAAAGGTAAAGGCAAAACAAAAAAACAGAATTTAGGTAATATTACACATGTTTATTACTTTACTTACGAATAATACGCCCACGTAGACTTGTTATAAGATGAATGAATAATACATTACTCTAGAAGATTATTTATACAAAAAATTTTACACTTAATTTAAATACTCATTAAAATCCTGATGATTAGAAATTGTGTTCACTCACGCACACACACATATAAACACAGAGAAATACATAATAGACGTATATTGATGCAGAGGTAGTTAGTTAAAAACATCGTGAGGATGATAGTGTAGTTGGGTGGTGGTGGTTGTGGTAGTAGTAGTAGCAGTAGTAGTAGTAAGCGTTTTATTATAACCAGAGAATATATTAGGAGTTAAATAATTAATCATTAATTTCTTTTTTCGTAACAGTAAATTTTAATATAGTTTTTCCAAAATTACAACTAAATATTAACTACATCCAACAGTAAGAAATAAACGGCCTACTAGATAGAGCAAAAATAAAAATAAAACCACAAACAACAGCTACTGCTTCTTAATCAAAAAATAAAAAAAATCATGCAAAACCCGCTTTCTTTTTAACTAGAACTTTTTAATTGAATATAAAATATACTCAACAAATAAATGGCAACAATATTAACAAAAAGACATTCTTTTTTTTTTTTGTCTATGCAACTTGCAAACTATTTCAATAAATTATTTACAGGTAAGTTTTCATCTATTTGTAATTTGTCACATGAGCTTTCTTATATATGGCAAGCTATTAATTTGACAAGATTTCGATTTTCCTTAATTCAACTGTGGCGATTAATAAAGACCGTTTCGATAGATGTTATTATACACATTAAAAAGAAACTATTTCGGTGCATTTACATCTAGCTTCAAAGCTTATTGTATCAATTATCTTAGATGCGCTTAAATACGGCGAAATTAGTACCAAAGGAGAGAATTTACGAAAATTTTACATATTATTGAAAAATAATTAATTTTAATTTGAAAAGATAAATGGGTGCTAACAATAAACTATAAAAATCAACTCTAGACTGCGATAAAAGATCGCTTTGAACGAAAAATAAATACATACTCTATATGTTCAATACTTAAACCTGATTGAAAGACCAAACAGAGAAGAGGCCGATATGTATCACTATTTCCCAAATTTGGCTTACCAGGTTGGCCTGGTGAACTAATAGAAATAATCTAAGCACGGAAGGCACCTAGTTTCGACAAAACTATGGCAAAGATACCAGGAGGAAAATATAAAGCTCTTCTGAGAACATGATATTATGCAGTTTAAATTAACACGATTTTAAAAAAAATATGTCTCCAGAGACTTCCCTTAAGTTCTATACTATACTATGGAGAAAACATAAAATAAAAAAATATTTACAAGCTTTATTTCGGATCCATGATCTAATAGATTTGCAAGAAAGAAATTTCCTAGAATTGATTTTGTTTGCACCATTTCACAATTGACAAGAAAGAAATTAGTTTCTGTTCATTCCGAGTATTTGGATACATATTACAAGCTTGTGTACAATACTTAATCATCAATCATTGCCTTGAAACAAATCCTATCACATACACACTACGTCGTATAATTTTTTAGAAACTACATTTTTTCTATGTATTTCAGCTTTCAGGGAATGCGGCCCATAGCGTAATTTACCTGGTTTTCGAACCTAAGCTAATGAGAGTAGTAAATTTTTCTTCTAGACAGATCAAAATTGCGGTTCCAACATATGAGAGGCCGGCAAGAACGACTATTTCTCACATTTTCTTCGCACTATGGTTTAACAAATTTTTTCATTGGATCAAAAACATTGTAGCAACATGCAATTACCGTCTCATTTTGGCCCATCGTAAAAAAATCATTAAAATAATAAAAAGTGTAGAAAAAAATAAAAATTTTACTTAGCAAGTAATAATTTGGAAGATCTTGTTACTTCATAATATCGGAGAACCGCTGTCAGTTGATAAAAGACGTGCTTTCTATGCAGGAAGCCATTGGAAACACATTGGATTTTACATATCCAGTCACAGTTTGGTTAAACTTATCTTATTGTAGTAGTATAATATATACCGATAATTTTCAATAAATATTTATTGAAACTTTTTATTGTTGCTTGTCCTGATTTGAATGTGAAAATCAAGGGTCGTTTTTGTGAAAGTCATTTCATAGTTTAACGTCTCTGTTTTCACTGTTAAAATACGGTGTTACTTCTTGAATTTTAGAGGCATCTCTATTGTATGACACCAGACATGTATCCCTTTGTCGGGGATATTTTTCATGGTAGAGGATATTTACGAGGGTAAACATGTATGAAATAGTTTCTATGTCGGGGATATTTTTCGTGGTGGAGGATATTTACAAATATATTCAAGTTCATTCAACAATTGAAGTTTGGTCTACCACTGGGAATTAAACCCTGGTATGCCGACTTAATAGTCGCACTTATTTACATGTCTTACATCAAAACATTCGAAATTCCTTCCTATAGTTTATACACAAACTGTGCACCAATTTGCTTTTCTAAATTTTCTATGAATATAGAGTCTACTATTAATCGCCACCTTTAAAAAATTATTTCTGCTTATAAAACAAAATTATTGCACTATCTTATAATAGAAAATTATATTCATATTTTAATATAAAAATATATTTACCTATATTTATAAAAAATAATTGTCTAAGGACTATTTGCAATTGCATGCATGTTCCACGATTTCATTCGGTTATAAAACATTATTAACAACAATTTATTGCAAACTATGAAAGAATTCTTCTTTCTTATTATTTGCAATAAATATTAGTTTAAAAATTAATTGTTGTCGTTTCGTTGAGGACAAAATTTCAGATAAAGAAAGTAGAAAAAAAAAAATATTCAAAGATTAACAAAAGCTTGCAAAATATTGCTTTTTCAGGGAGAAGAATGAAAATTTTGCGTACGAAAATTATGTGGTTATTTAGCATTAAACGCATTCCAAACAAAAATATTTTTATAAATTATGTCATAACTAGCTTAAGCATTCAATTATGGGTATATATGTATATGTAATTTTGGATAAATTTAAATGATAATGGCTTTACTTTAAACTCATTCCATTCTTAATAATGTGATAAAATTATAAATCGTACATTTCTGTGGTACTGACCTCTTGTAGCAAGTCCTGCGAAGCGATTGCCTTTAGAACATTCTTTTTTGAAGTTTCTTGTATTTCACCACCGATCAATAATTCATCCAATATGAAATATGCTTTTTCAAAATTAAAAATTATATCCAATTCGCAAACCTGCAAAAAAATTAGTATAAGAAAGTAATATTTGCTTACACTTTCGAGTCTTTATTTATCGACGAATCATCCTAATTTCTCAACTCTAAATTTCTCTTTAAAATATGTAAAAAATGTTCCTGGACTGATATAAAAGCGCCCCAATGAAAGTGCCCCTTCTTCCAGCAAAACTATGAGTTATAAAAAAACTTTCGGTTACATGGGATAATTTCCACGCCAACGATCCTTTGCATACACTTGAATATAGGGTCGGTTATTTTCCGTTTGAAATGTTGAAAACTGCTTCCGAAAAGGCCCCTGGCATACTGTTTTTATCTTTACATCGTAGCCACTTAGGTTATAATTTGGTTTGATTGACGGTATTATCGATCAAGGTATTAAATTTTACTACACTTTATCTCCTAACCTAGATATGACTTATGGCAGTCAAAAGGACTTGCAAATATTAAGCGTAAGTTGAATCGTGTTTGTCAAATTGGACGCGAAGTGTTTGCTTCACTTTTCGACGATATTAAGTCTGAGTTATCCAAGAGTCATAAAGAAGTTTTTCAAACATTTGGTAATGCTCAGATGCCCGCAGTCAACGAAATCTTCACTTATCTGGATTTTTATTTTGCCCAACTCAATATTACAGTACGGGCGCAGTGACTACCTACTTTTCAGCTACGCTTTTGAAGAACTCGTGCTCTTTGCAAAATTCTTACAATAATGTTTATGTATGTGAATGTAATGCTTTGCCTTTTTACCTCTGTTCTGCAATAACTCTCCATTCAAGCAATAAAGTTTTGCAAAGCTTATCCTTAGTATAGTCCAATTCAAATTTATTAAAGATGGCAATATTCTAAAGTGGAAATCTAAGATCGTTTATGTCCCCTATATATATATATAAACGGTAGCTGCAACAGTTTGTGGATAACGATTTTGTTTAATAGACAGATATTACTTTGCAGCCGACAATAATACTAAAGACATAAGTCCTGAAAGTTTAGGAAGACATAATAAGCTATCGTGAGAGTGATTTAGTCAGTCCGACTGTTTTATTTCGTATTATAAATTTTATAAAGCAACTTAAATATGTGTATTATGCGTATTTAATTAATCTAATATAAATTTTAGATTTGTGCGCAGCAAAGTTAATTTGGCTATACAACGTGAAAAGCCTTCGCAAATGTCTCATTATTATTTACGGATTCTAAGCAACTGAATGCTGCTTATTCAACACAGTACGGTCTTCTTCCATGCCATGTGTCGTTTATTAGGTTATCAAGGCATTGCAGTCGTTATGGATATGATTTTAAAGGACATGGTTAAATTTTTAATAAAAAGTTCATTGTTGCAATTTACAAAAACTTTAATGAGCGGCATGCCCAAATCCTGCAAATTGCCACGTTGTGAATGTGGCTCAACTGGCGCATTAAGCTATTGTCAAGCTCATCTCACGGACATTGTTCAATATCCGTATACAAAAACGGAACTTTTCCAGTCATTTCGCGAATTCGGAAATTGCATTATATTTTGTTTATTAATTGAACAGGCACTATCGCAAGAGGAGGCATGCGATTTACTGCATGCCGCTTTATTTCAAAACATTTTTCCCCGAGCATTTGCAAGGGTGAGTAAAGCAAATACTCACAACCAAGCTTTGTAATGTTTGATGTAATTGTAGAAAATGAAAAACCAGAAGCCAAGCAAAAACGTTTGGAGGCTCACTTTGAAAATTTATAAATTGTTTCAAATATTGAGAAATTGGGTACGGCTAAGGTAAGGCTTTGAGAGAATTTTTGCTTAAAACTATTTAATTATTTTATGATTTCTTATTCTCAGCAAGCTGTGATTGCACATGATAGTGATTTATTGACACGCGAAACGAAAATCAGAAGAATTTTTCTTGCAAATTTTTGCTGTAAGTTTTCCTGAAACGAAAATCAAAAGAATTTTTCTTACAAATTTTTGGTGTAGGTTAGGGAGCTATTCAAATTTTTCTTCAGATAGAATCTACCGCAATTTTCATACTGCTGCAACTGTCAAAGCCGCTGAAGATATGGGATTGTATGTCAAGGCTGTCGTCTGCGATCCGATGCTCCGTTAACAAACGAATACTCGGAGGAAAATTTGCCAGCAGCGCGTACGAAAGAAAACTGGCAGACGGCAGCACCTACCTAATACGTCTATTATATGACTACGCCCATTTTGTAGATGCGCTACTAAAAAAATTCAGAAGGGAAAAGAAAATATAATCAGCGCCCAGCTCACCATTCTGGGAGAAGACTGGTTGTATGCCGTCGTATAGCGCGCTATGGGGATCGTGCGCCGCGATTATGCAATTCCTGAGTAATACACAGGTCGCGACTTTCCTGCCGACTATAAAGATTAAGGAGATTGACAACTCTGACGGCAAGGCGAAAAGGAAGTGCGAATTAATCAGTGCGCTAACGAAGTTCATTAACTCCTCCTCCTCGCAATATTCGCTGTATTGCAATGGTGACTTTGAATTTATCTTTACTGATCGTCAGTTATAACTTAGTTATTTATTTCTATTTAATTTCAGATTAAGACACAAGATGAGTCGCCACCAGGCCATAACAGCGAATATCCTCATTGGGACGTTAAAAGCAGTAAATTTCTGATACAATTGTATGATTTAATTTAATGCCCATTAAAAAAATTTATTGATGCACATTAACGATATATCAGCGCATGTTAGAGCTTAAGTTTTACAAATAAGGCAACACAGTGGCGTCTTAATTGAAAATGCAGGAAGTCCTTTTAACTCACTTCATTTCCATGATTGGTTATATGTCAATCCAAGAAATGATATTTCTTGACATCGATGTTTACAATAACATGAAATACCGCCAAGAACTAACAGAATGTACATAGAAGAAAAGCAAGAGCCCTTTTACGAATTGTAATGAAAACCGCCTCAAGACGACTAAATTAAATATGCCTGTCACCGAGTCGTTGAAGCGTTTAACAAGCGCGGCAGCCGAGCCGCAGCCAGAAGGTTTGTTTCAAAAAAAAGGGAAATAAAAAGTAAGAATTCTTATAAGATGCTTCTTTTTTACAGCATGACGAAGACTGAGTAGGTGCTACTGCTGAGGATGATGTGGGCGAATTGGTCAGTCACATATACGAACAGATTATGTTTTGTGACGAAAATGCTTTATTACCGAATCTGTTCCCCTACATTTTACAGATTTGTAAATACCCTTTCAATATCTCGCACCAACGTTACAGCAATCAGCCTCTTTGGCTCTTATATGCGTTTCATCACCCGTCTGTGACTCTTACATGCCTTTCTTGATGAATATTCTCAGTCATACCAAAAATATCAAAATCAAATGCAGCATTTTGATCGGCCTATCTGATCTCATATTTCGCTTTCCTAGTATTATTGAACCGTGGACTGGTCTTTTTATTCGACACTGCATGATGAAAACATAGAGTTGCCTTTCACGTAAAAGTAGTAAAAATTGTATTCCAGTAGGAACCTTAGTGGAAAAGCTGATGTGCGATACTCTTGACTGAATTTAGTGGTAATAAAAAAATTAGCAAATATTCTCTTATCTTTCTTAATCACAACATTTTTGCAGGTTATTTGATTAGCAGAATAATTGCAACTGTTTCAATTTATATCTCTTCAAAAGTTATTATAAATCAATGGTCGTTTCTTCTTTGTTCAGTACCATCAGTGTGGACACTTGTACCTTAATTAGTGGAATCTACTGTTCGGATGTAGCTAAAGCAAAATTCCGAGCTTTGAAGTGAATGAGGTGTATAGAAATAAATGGCTAAATCTAAACGATTCATTTGTTCTTTTCAGAATGGTTTTCAATGAAATCTGCTTATGCACTAGCATGATGATTGGCAATGTTTTAACTGGTTACATGCATGAGACTAATTGCTGCGGCGGGTCAAGAGATTGGCACTAGACGTTTCCAATTAGTGGTAGAACGCACTTGGAAACGCACTGCTTTTGGCGGATGGAAACTGGATCAGATGTCCCTAAATTAATAGCAGAATACATGCGCCAGGAATTGCTCGTAGGTGAATTTGTTACACACACTACGCAGGTTGAAAAAATTAATGATGCTTTTGAATTGATGCATGAGGGTAAAAGTATACGAAATCTGGTGAAAATTTAAATCTAGTGATTTATAAAGATTATAATCTAAATTTTGCACCAGGGCATCAGTCAACCATTGCTTCTTTCTAATAAATTGTTGGAGGTTCTATTGATACCACAAAAAGTTGGAATCAGCTGTATTTTTATAATAAATAATTGGTGGACGTACTGTTGAAATAATTGTGGAGTACTAGTATCCCGATTTCTACAAAACGACAAAATACAAAAAATCTCAACAAAAAACATAGACCTCAAAGTATTGTTACACAGCAGAGGCATAAGGGATCGAAAAAACTTGAAATTTTGAATTCATCGTCGTTTGAATGATGACTTATTATTACTCTCTCTACGTGTTGATTTCTTATTTTAACCGCGTGAGCATCGGCAGCGTAACAGACGTTTTTAATTATAAAATTTTAATAAAAAAATCTTCATAGAAGTGTTAACCAATTTTTACGAATTCCTTTTACAAAGGGCATTATCTTTATTTACAAAATAAGTCAAAAAACATTTATAAAACTAACCTGAAAATCGGGCGCAAAACCTTAAAAATCTACATATATTTTAGGATTTGTCAAAATTATTTTTTTCTTCCATTTTCTCCCATCCTTTTACCTATCCTATGGGTATAACTTATCTATTTTGCAATATTGTTATTGGCAAAGTTGGAGTCCCAATTCGAAAATTGTGTTTTTTATACGGAGCCTCTGTTGCGGCCTTAGTATTTTCTTAGTTATACTCAATCGAATTAAAAGTTATTTGGACGATCATCTACACTGGGCCATCGCCAGCTAATGGCATGTTCAGAATTTCATCGTTTATGGTCGGCTTTGCAATTTGTTTATTGTATTATACCGGTAAGAGGCACTGAGTGTACCATATAAGAACTTTTCAATTGGGCTGGTTGTACAATGACTGTTCTATTGGGTCAACAAACGCGTTTTGAAGCTTTGGACTTTTGTTATCATATCTTAAAACGTGTTGATGGCAAGGATGAAGAATTGTAAGTCTTAGCCTTTTAACAGTTACTTAATTTTCCATACTTACTGAATTATTTATACCTAACTTATTTTAAAATTACGCAGAAACTTAAACGTGTGATAGACCATGTAAGACGCTTTCAAGTATTGAACTCGCAAATTTTCGCTATACTGAACAAATATCTGAAAGGTAGTGACATTGAAGGATCCAATGTGGATGCTTCCCACCGCCGCAACATCCTTGTATTATATCGTCACATTATCAAGATCAAAGCAGTAACAATTAAATAATATATATACGTATATGGTAACAATGTAAGCAAAGCATATTTACATTTAAAAAATTTATAAAACGTTGCTCATGCCTTTGGAGACCCGGTTTTTTTCTTTATTATTTATTTTTAAGCAAATAATTAAATTATCAATAGTATTCTAGTCCTCACATAAAAACGAATTGTCATGCATTGTTTTTTACATTTTGATATTATTTGATATTTATATTATTATTATTATTATTTTAATTTTAGACTAATGAATTGAATTCTTAGACTAAAAAAAGAGACATTGAGCACTAGCAACACAGGCTATCGGCTCTTGATATTTATAATAATCATAATTATTAAACAAATACAGTCAATGCAATCTTAGATAATCGAAATTATTCGATTTCTTTCTGATACACGCAATAAAGACGACTTGCACGACCTACATGATATTTTAAACATTCTAGAAATAAGGGACAATTTCTTAGATTATTGTTGGTCGACTTTATTCACAAGTCTTCTGTCACATGTACAGATACGAAGAGAAGAAGATGGCCTAATCGCCGTTAATTACGTCTTCAAATGAAGACCAAAGGGGTACAAATATATGATTTCAACTGCAGGAAGATGATCGCAGTATTCTAGTGCAAGAAATGGTTGTACATGGGTGCCTTATAATTGTTACAGGCGGATGGGCATGTACTTCTTTACGCTTTGTTTATATCATAAACCCCAAAAATATTCAAATCTTTATATGAAAAAGCGGTCTACATTTCCAGAGGCCAAATAAGCACTATCGTCAGAGTGCGCAAATCGATTTTTTGACATTTCATTCTTTAACCTTTTGGGTTTGCTTTGTGTGGGCGTATGGTCATCGACTCATAAGCACGTTGCCGTATACTATTATACTATATACTATATAGTCGACGCTATACTCGTCCAAAGTGGCCTGATCATCATCAGGTTTTTTTCAAAGGTTCCAGCACTACTCACATTCGAATACATTTTTCGATTTGTTGCTAGTATCTAAGGAAAGCTCCTTTCGATTGTAAGGACTTCACGTTTTAATTGAAGATATTAAAAGCAATATATAAATATAGGAATCTCTTCACTTGTCACTTGTTGCTGTCATTATCTTTAACTAAAAGGCGGAGAGAGAGAGAGAAATTCGTAAGAAAGCAAAACCTTTATGTGGATTGCACCTCCGTGCAGCTATTCGTGAAACCCGTTATTTACATCTACAGTTATTTAAATTTTGCCAGCGCTGCGAATGCACATAGGGTAGGAAATAAAAGTTTAGACATTTGTACATAAATTTTGCGGCAAACACATGCGTCATATGTCATTGTATGAGTATATATATTGTTATTTTGGAATTGTTCTTGAAAATCTAATATATACGAAGTTGAAGAATGCTTTCGCGCTAGTGATAATTTTGAGAGTCATATTAGTGAGAGTCGAGTATATTGTGCAAATTGCTATGCATACGATTTTTATACAAGAAGTAGTAGGAAAAAAAAATTTTGCAAATTGAATGCTAGTAATCACGGCGGTCACATTAACCTACCGTTCATGACTCGGAGTATTTAAATACACTAGGATCAAAACTTAATCGTGACAAGATCATGTATCAATAAACTTTTGCTCCTCTCCAAATATAATGGATTTTCGCGGGATTTATCAAACTTTTAAAGATTAGTTTATAGTCCATTGTTTGTTAGTAAAAAATAAAAAGATGAGTACAAGAAAAAAACACTAGCAAAGCATTTGAAAACTAATTTGACAATTATAGTTTTTTCAAAGAGAGTTTGGACGTGGCGTCATATATATTGGCCTTTTATACACCGCTGAATTGAGAAGACAGAAACAAATATGGACTAAAGAATTCTTGTTTATTTTCATTAAATTAATAATTATTGATAATATTAATATTATGACTGTCTCAGAAGCTTATTAAAAAAACTTTTGGTTGTATCTTGTCGTAATCTTATTTATTCTTTTTATGGATATTATTACGGTATAGGTATACGGAAATTGGGCTAAAAGTTGAGCTGAAAAAGTTTGAGTTTGTTGTTAAGTAACTAAATTTTCTGACAAAAGAATAGATTGATTTAGAAATGTAGAAGTGGACCATATCTATTTAGAAGCTCACATGAAGATTTCATAAGGAATGACAGAAATTATGTAACATTCGGCTGGGCTTAAAGTAGATAATTTTGGGGTCAAAATATGTGCATTTCTATCTGCTTTATGCAGTAGATAACTTCCTCGTATTCCCCTGTTTCCATTGACAACAATACAAATCCCAATTCCAACAATCATATAAGCCATAAGCATCTTTGAATTAACAACATGAACCACCAAGTTAGATTTGTTACGTTCTCCTACACAAAACTATACACCCTCGCTTAAGCAGATTTTTATAAGATTTTATTATTTATTATTAATTTTATTTACATTTAAGTATAAATTACAGCGCCTACACATACACATAATGCCTTATTTCCTGTCAATGCCTACTTGCTCGAAGAGATACCAAAATGGTTGGTAATTTGTTCGGAAGCAGACTCTTTTGAAGATTACACGTTATAACTTAATGTGTTCAGCTTACAAGAGCTGGAATGTTTCAATGGCAAGCTAGTGCGTTTAGTTAAACAGGAATAGGGCACTACTGCATTACAGGTTTGTTGCATAAAATTTTTACATCTTAAAAAGTTACGTACAATAATCGCTTGCTAGCAGCCGACGTAGTGGTACAGCTAATGCGAATAACAATAATTGACCGTAATAAAAACTCAATCAAAAGTAAAGTACAAAAATGTTGTTCACAAAGGCATAGTTGCAAGGGTATAAAATTTACCGCTCTACATTCCGCTTTTATACCGTGGTTTCTGGATGTCATCGGGGCATATTATTTCAAGAGTCTTTTACATTAGCACCTATGAAGGTGTAAGGCGTATATTAAATGGTATGAAGCTTTGGTAGCGAGAGGCTAGGAGGTGAAAGGAATTCAGATAATCATTTTTATCACTTAAACAAGGAAGGAATTTTCATTTAACAGAGATTGTTAAAAAATTTTTATTTAACAGAGATTGTTAAGGAATTTTTCTCACTTTAACAGAGATTTTTTTTATAAACCATGTGAAGGTAAAAACCAGCTAACGGCTTTTAGCTAAAAATCGAGGAGGGCTGTGCCAGATTGTCTAGTTTCGTAGGCTTTTCTAGTGGTTCGCTAGGTTTTTCTAGTGGTAAGAAGCAATTAATATTTTTAAAATATATGTTTTTAATCGTAGTTTCATTAGCTCACTTTTAACCCTTCTATTAAAGCCAAATTCACTGTTATCTAAATATTTAACCACGAAATTGGAGTTTACCGCAATCAACATCAATTTCAAACACCACACAAGCCAAATATTTTAAATTCACTTGATCAACCATATATGTACTGCCTTTTTCTTAATATCCAATAACATTCTCCCATGCAGGTGATGCCATATATATTCGATTTAAATAATTTTTTTGCAGGCAAGACATATGAACCGGGCGGTACCACCACCTTGTTACCAAAAGCTCTCGCACCCCACTTTCAAGTATATTAAGAGAGAAAAAAGTAAACCGAGAATGTAAAAATTAATTTTTAAGATTTTTTTGTCTCGGAACCTTTCGGACTCAAACTAAGCAGATACATCTTTAATATAAATTTATGCTTTGCCATCTCAAGTATGTTCGGGAAAATCTAACTTTGATTGCTTGCAAGAGACAGAGTCGAACGTTCCTTATTAACTGTCCCATAAACCGAAATTGAAAGTTTTTGAGTGAAAAAGTATTACGAAATGAGCAAGTCGTCTGTTGTTGATCTGCTGAGTCACAGCGAAAAATTTCAAAAGTCTTAAATATTTCTTACGAAACAACTTTCTTAAGGTACACTGAGCGATCGTGCGTGCTTCGATTCATTCGCAATAAGGTTCCTTGGGCTATAACAAATACTTCGAAAATGATGACAGAAAGAATGATTCTGAATCGATTAGTACATAAAAAACAAATGGTTCTAGCAATTGCTTACATCGACAGAAACTTTGTATATTCGACAATCACTACGCGTAAAAATACATAAGGGGTGTACGTATAAAGGGGTATATGTGTAAAGGGTAACAAAGTTCGGTAAGCGAATCTACATGTAGATTTACACATAGCAAATAACACAAAGTTAAGCTTACGACTTTCGAATGAAATTTACTTACACTTCCAAAATATTTATCCAATAATTCAACGTAACGATGTATAATTTCTAACGTCAACAATTCATTGTCGTTTTGTTCTATAGCACAACAAAAATATAAGCTGGCATAACTGAAAACGAATAATTTCATATGTTAAACACGTTCGTAGCATGAAGAATGTATACCAACCGTTTGTAAACAATTTTACAATCCTTCCATTCCAAAAACGAGCACATTTTTGGCTTACGCGCCAATATAGTTGTGACCAACTCACGTGTAATTTTCTTTTTTACTTTATCCGGATAAGCCATATACCATTTTTGTAAACGTAATTTGCCTTGACGGCTAAATAATAACATAAACAACATCTAAAATATAAAAGCATTAAAATAATTTTTAAACTATCACTAATAATAAGCCAAGCTGTGCACGTCATCATTTTCGCACTTCTCACATATTTATGCAGATCTTATTATTATTTGTCGTCATAAATGTTTGAAATTTACCATTTTAGTAAATAGTAGTTTGTTAATTAGTTATTTAAATAAATTCATAAATATCTATAAAATTTCGAAGTTTTCATTTCTTAATAAGAAAACCAATTTTATATTCGCAGGTGTTTTTTATTGGGTGCGTTTCTTTATCATCACAAAAACAGAGATGTCTATCTGTTGAAATATAAATGCAGGAATTTTATTCTCACCAATTTCAAAAGAAAATATGGGTTTAAAAAAGTTTCAAACTTCTTCTTTTTCTGCAAATCAACAACCGAAAGTTCGTTGAGGTGTGGAAAAAAGGCCCAATGTGAACACAGAGTTCTTGTTTAGGCCTTAGTAAACGAAGGTTAGATGTGGTATATAATATTATTATTTATTAAAGTATAAATGCTGGCTCTAAGGTGAATAAATGTTTAGTGTAGGTTTTACTGAAACCAAAATCAGTTGTATTATTCCAATACATGTTTGGTGCAGGTTTTATTAAAACCAAAATCAGTTGTATATTTCTTATAAATCTTTGGTGTAAGTTTTATTGAAACCAAAATCAGTTGTGTTGTTCTTATAAATGTTTGGTGAAAGTTTTATTGAAACCAAAATCAGTTGTATTTTTCTTATAAATGTTTAGTGTTCAAGAAGGAACTGAATATTTTTTGTCGATTGCTCTTAGATCTGCAGGAATCAGAGGGACGATACAATTGTAGCTGCAGTGTTGGTGCCAAGAATGCCCCTGTGACTAAGCACCCAGAACAAGTGAAAAGAAATTGTATTAGGCTATAATGTAATGATCTGACTTCTAATATGTAAGGGTGAGTTTTACCTCAGGGAAATAATTGCAAGGCGGATAAGGCAGATTTGCTGTCTGACACTATAAGGAATTATTTCTGAGGATGAGTAGCGGATGGCTTCCAGAATTGCAAAACATTCAGGCGAAAATATAGTGTTACATGGGTGATTTGAGAAACAGACTTCTCTACTAATATCTGGAACCCAAAAGCCGCTGCCTACGATATCGGTCATAGATCCACCAGTAAAATGTTTCCATTTGGTAGTGAGCAAATTTGAGTGGCGGTGGTGTATCTCTGCGGGAATATCTGTGGAGTTTCCCACTGTTAAGAAATTAATTACTGGTGGAAAATATTGAGAACCAAGAGAAACTATAAATAAGCTATATACAGAAGTTCTTAGAATGTTGATATTAATTTTGTCAGCAAAAATTTTAAAGAAGGAAGGGGAGGAATTGAGTGATATAAAGTTGTAAATGGAAGGCAAGGCCAGATGATTTTCAAAAGGTAGAATTTTATAAGATGAAAAGTTGGCGAATAGGAGAAATCTTTCTTGTAGAGGCATTTGCGATCTGTTCCAAGCCCACAAGAGCCTGACGAAGGCATTTGCATTCGATTGTGAATAATGTCAGAAGGTCTTTATTTGAGATGCGCAATAAGATTGCACTGACGTATTCGAATTTTGTTCTAACTAAGCCAAGATACAGTTTAATCATACCAAAAGGTTCAGAGTCCCACGAAATACCACAAATGAATTTAAGTACGTCAGTGAGTTGAAAATTTTGTTTGGCAATTTTATTATTGTGAGGTGCACGGGAAATTCGTGAGTGTGGAACAAAGCCTAGGCGAACCTCTCCTTTGCACAACAACATCATCATTGTTAATTAACAAGCTTTCATACGTAGCCGACTTGTGTTTTGAGTAGTTCGTGTTTTCTTTTCATTTGCGATTTGAAAAAATCAAAGCAACAACAAATATTGAAAAAATTGAAGCAACAACAAATATTGAAAAAATTGAAGCCACAACAAATATTGAAAAAATTGAAGCAACAACATGTATCCTAAAGCCTAACAAATTACAAGTTCAATGAATCTAATCTTTCATTCTTCAATCAACCTTCCATTTCAAATTATTCACCTGTGCCCACTCGTTGCACTTCAAATATACGCAAACACTTAAGTATCGATTATTCTGCTGGTAAGAATAAATTATTCACGCAAAATTCCTTTAGCGATATTTTCGTCGAAGACGCTGACATATCAACATAAACTACCTATCGCTCGGTCTTCACATCATTACATTATATAAAGTCTTTAAAATTTTAGGGTGGAACGTTAAGGGACTTATTAATAATTTTGATTAGCTCCGTACACTCATAAGTGATTTTAACCCTATCTTTATATCCCTGCGAGACACCCATTGCAGAAGTTTTTCAACTCTATTCCACCCAAATCAAGTAAAGTATTGAAAGCATTGAACGTTGCAAAATATAAAGAATATAGAAATTCAAATTTCCTGCTTTTAGCTTTCCGTTGGGCGCCGTTTTGTCAACGGCATAACTGCTTCGCGGTAGAGCGTTACTAAATTTACGATTTGCCTTGCCGTGCCGTATGACAAAAATAAAGAAAATAAAATAGGAAAAATATTTTTTTTTCCTAAGGTGCTCATGCGGTGCGACTTAGCACACTAATTAAGTCCGTCTCTGAGGACCGTTGTCTGTACTGTTCGTTGGTCCATTCGTATTCCGTCAGTGCACATTCCCACCCAACTCTGCCTCAGCGGAAGGTTATATCCCTTTTTTTTCTAAAACATATATAATATTTATTTATATTATTTTTAATTAATGGTCAATACAGTTGTATACAAATGAATCCGAAGATCACCCATACGAAAATGGACATATATTCACATAATCAAATAAACTAGCGATGAAATAGTTACGAGCAGACTTTACAATGCGTAAATTATAATTGAAACACACATTCATCAGTTGTACATTTTGCGTTTCTGCGCTCTCTTTTACATCTGAAGCCATTATACAGCTTATTACAATTGCTCAAAAGTTTCATACAGTCTTCTTTTGCCAAAATCAAATATAGAATGGAAAGATAGACTTAAGAGTTTACTTATAGCAATATTGCATAAACGAAAATACTTATTTTATCATCAATATTCATGATTAATGATCAAAAATACTTTTGATCAGTTGATGTGGCTTTTATACATTCCATATTTTAATCTTCACATACGCACGCCTAACTTTAGGCTTTATCATTTCCGCTCACTTCACAAATTTTTGATTATTATATTAAGTCTGAACATGAACTTTCTTATGAATTTCTATTATAAATATGCGTGATTTTTAGCTTCATGATAAACTAACAATTTATTGTTTAATGAAAGGTTTCGCAATAGCTTGCAATTGACAATTACAACAAAGTAAATTAATTTTAAACTTTAAGCAAGTTTTTAATAATTTGCATCAATTGCTATCTTTAAAAAAAAAAAAACTCCAAATATGCAGAAATTGCTGTCCACTTTCCTTGGGAATACAATTAAGAAAAATCAAAAAAATCACGAGTTTATTATACATTGTTGTTGACACTTTTTTCCCCATGTTTGTTCTCATCAATGTAACACATCAATGTTGAAGCGCTGGAACAATTTCTTGACTTTATTTTCTTTTTCCTTTCAAGCTCTGATTTCAAATTTTTTAAAGCATTCCGATTTTTAAATTATACTTTTTCTTGTAATATTTTTACATTTAAAAAGGAAACAGTTTTCTGATGGCCCTTTTTATTCTTTACAAACTCTTCTCTCCTATTTCAACCGCATGGCCGATCTTCCACACTTTATTTCATTTCTCGACGAATGGGACCAACAATCTCACCTACTACAAGGTTGTATCTGCATCGAATGAAATTCAATAAATATATAAGCTCGGTACTGCAGAAGGCAAAACGCATATCAGGAACATTGTTCCTTATGCAGGAACATTATTGCCTGTTTTATATACCGTCCCTTTCCTAAAGGCTGGGGCAGCTCAGCGGCCCAGGGTAATGGAAACGCACAAGAAATTTTGTGTTTTGCAGGGACCTTTATTTTTACTATTTTAATCTAAATCTTATTCCGACTACTATAACTCGAAAACTACGTCTCTCTTAGTCGGCGGCTGAATTCCAACAACTCTTAACCTATCCTTAACCTACGCTTATCTAGCCTATTCTATTCTTATCCTATCTTAATCTATTCCTATTCTATCCTAATCTATTTCTATCCTATGTCTATCCTATTCTTATACTACGCCTACTCTACTCTTGTCCTATCTTACTCTCTAGCACTGCTCTCTCCCAAGCCAGAGACTGAGAACCCGTGAGGCCAAAACGAGGGACGACGTTGGGTCCTCACAGATCCTCCGTTCTTCGGGGGAAAGAGAAGTGGCTGATGACGCGCCTCTCCGGTATTGGCCGGTCGGTGACGGCTTCGGTGGGGCGCTGTCGTTACTGCTGCAGTTGTGTTGTGCCGAACGTGGCCGCAGAGCCTGCTGCTTGCGCGGAGCAGGGTGCTATTGTCGATGATGGCGCAGAGCCTGTCGCCGGGGCAGAGCAGGGTGCCATTGTCGATGATGGCGCAGAGCCTGTTGTCGGAGCAGAGCAGGGTACTGTTATCTTGCGCGATAATGCAGAGCCTGTTGCCTGAGGAGAGCAGGATGCTATCGTTGTGTGGTCATGCAGAGCCCGTTGCCTGAGCAGAGCAGGGTGCTATTATCTTGGTGCGGCTTTCCGACATCGGGGCGTCGGAATGTTGGCCGTTAGTCACGTCAGCTCTGGTGTACCTTTGGCTTTCCGGCATTGAATCGCTGGACCATTGGCCAGCGAGGTACGGGTCGTGCCAACGTGGGCTGCTATGGGCGCCTATTTGGTTCACAGAACCTTAACTGCGGGTGACTTCGTTGTTGTGTTGACTTGCTGGTAGACTGTTGACGAAATTGTGGTGCGCTCAATGCGGTTGGTATGAGCGTGGTTTGTTGTAGTCGTGATTGTTGTGGCGTTGAGTTTACTGTGCTGGATGTGACTTCCATTATCAATGTTGTCGTTGTTTGTTGTTGCGGTAGTTGCTGGTGTTGTAATTCTAGTTGTGTGGACCTTTAGCCTGGGTTTGTTGCGGCTGTGGCATTTGTGACCGTTTTGTGATTATGGCGATAGCCACCCGTTGCCGTTGTTGTGGTAATAGTTGGGGTTTCCGCTAACGACGTTGCGGTTATGGTA